TCTTACAGTAGATAATTAGATAACCAGCTTGATATCTAAACTAAATATAGAAGCTAAAATAATTGGTAAAATTACAAAGTATGATGCTAGAGTTAGCAGCTCACTAAATCTATATTTTAGAACTAACAAATATAAAAAGTTCATGGAATGATGAGTTTGAATTAACTCTTGAAACAGTTTTATAGAACCTGAAGAAGCAATGCTTGGTTCCAATTGGTCTTCGAATAGTTTAACTACAGTGGCACAACACTTTTCCTTTCTTATGCTAAATTTGAAGAATTTTGGGCCTACAGATTGTTTCTGAATCAGATGAGTAAAAACTTGGCTAACTATGAAAACATTCCAAACTGACCTGCCAATAAATCAAAAAGTTCATGGTGAAATAAGTTAATTTGTTATTGTTATTACTATAACGATGTGAACATATTTTAAAACATTGATGGTTAACACACTGTACATATAGCGAATGCAACAATGGGGTTATCATCATGGATGAGGATCAAATAAGGGAAGTGATGGTTGAAAAGGTAGGAGAGATTTGAGGCAAACTTGAAAAATGAGAAGAGATCTCAGTAATTATTAGAGATATTCAATATCAACAATTTTGTCGTACCGCTTGCTGACACTTCGATTTCTGCCATCCACGTCCTTCTTCGTCAAACTTTGTACTAGCCTTTTATCGTTCCTCGAGAATGTTCGGTGCAACTGGAAATAAAGGATACTTCTTGGACACCAACGTCACTCTCAGTCAGGCAAACTTTCTTCAACTATCCAAAAAAATGCCACCGGTAAATTTCCAGTGAGCTTCGAAAGATGAACTTTGTGAGTACAACAGTTTGAGCACAGTCTCATAGTCTTGACATTATGAAACTTGTTTGTTACCTCTAGCGGCAAACTGTTGGCTGTATGTGATAGGACAGAACGATATGTCGGAGTAAACTGAACACTGTTCGAACGTACTTCACCCTCTTCTACCATTATTTGGCCTGAAGTCGGGATTTGATGTTGTGGGAGCCAGCGAGCACAATAAAACTTCATATATGCTTGGTTACACTTTATATTGCGAGTGCAAAATTCCGCTTGACTGCCTACTTCTTACTAAGCACGTCAAAGTTGTACTGTAAGATTGATTCATCAGAGAAGTAAATGAGTATTAGCATTAGCATAAGTGAAAAGTACTCATATAGCTTAAAAGGTTCGAATTTCGCTTTCTTACCGAGATTACTTGCTGTGATAAGTGCCACCAGAGGTTTGCCGTCCGAATTCGGACCAACTGTGAGAAAACCGTAATGTATATGCTGATCAGTGGTGTCGTTTCTGTTTATTGCTATCGATCTGAAAAGAAATTGCCGCATGGTCCGTGTTAATGTCAGATAAGTTCAAGTCGGCTGAGCACGAGCCAAGTTGTGTAAACGTCAGGCTCTGACGTGGATGATTACTCTATGTTGAACATACGTGAAATTGATACTCGGCTTGCCGAACATTAACACATCAGCAACTGTAACAGCAAGAATTTCCGTGTAGGATATCGCTTCGAAATCCGTCACGTAGTCTACAGTGCGCCAAGGTGTACCTAAATGGATGGATTCATCTATCTGAGATGTGACGAGAAATGATCGTCTGAAGCATGAATTCTAATCTGCAGAGTTCACTGGTGACAATAGTGTCACCAGCATATCGCTGTTGCTTATTACTTACCGTTTACTTCAGCTTTCCATACACCGATCATCCAAGCTAGTGGAAGTAAAACTGGAGCAAGTGGTTTTGTTGTCCTCACTGAAATTTAATTCTGTGCCAGTGGGAGAAGACAAGTTTGAAAAGTGAGAAATTAAATCACTGAAATATACGTCAATCAGTACTGCTAAAAGGTAATGCTTCTTTTTCTCTTCTTGAGACTTGGCGTCGACGTTAACGATAATTATGATAAAGCAGACCAGTGTGGTTTGAAGAGGAGCACTGTCCGCAGGATGCGGCACAATTGATATCAAAAAATCGTGTATGATGCCGCATCTGTTTACACTGACCCTGTTGCTTCCACTGATTGCAGCTGCCATAAATATCTTGACAAGGCCCTTAAGAACAAAGTGATGAACTTCCTTAGAAGAAAAGACAACAGTATGCTTGAATAAAACCAACGATCGCAATCTTTTCCCATCCATCCTGGCTGGCACATGCATGCGTAATCGTTCCATTTATCGATACATTTCGCACCGTTTTTGCACCGTTGAAAATTGCATTCATTTATTTCTGCAGAAAAGTCAATCTTACACTTCTCAGAACAACGATTTGAACGGTGAAAGGAGTTGTCTCCTTGAATGAGACGTGAATGCATACTGAATCTGTTTCTGATACAGAAAGAAACTTACCACGTTCACAGTATCTGCCAGCAGCGCCGGGCGGACATTTACAACCCAGTTCACCGTTACTTTTTTCCACACAAGTGCCGTTCCTCCTGCACAGATTGGGCTCACATTTTCCTGCAAGGGAAATTATGAATTTCAACTCATTAATGTCATTTGCATAAAAGTGCTCCGTTTGCGGTGGAAGCTGTGCAATGACCCGAAAAGCTATAATGGTTTTAAAATAATTTGAAGATGTGTCAGTTTCAGGTTAACGGATGGCAAAGTGGAATTACTCTGGGACTACAGCCTTTTCGGAAAGCTGTAAATTAGAAATTGAAGATTCTCTCAATTTTACATAAACATCTTGGCTCTTGGCTCGTCGAAGAAAATCCATCATTCCCAATGAAAAGAGATGTAGAAACGAAGAGGAAAAAATGGAAATCAAGAAATGTTTCCATATGTTGTGATCACAAAATCCCTTCTTTTTCTATTCTAAGCATTCCAAGAACCGGACATTTCTTATTATTTAATAGAGGGGAAAGCCTTGCCCATACAGTAAAGGAGTTGTTCACAGGTTCTGTTGAAGTAGAGGTAATCCATTCATACCTTGATAATTTTATAAATTGAAAAAGCAAATTCAAATTATGCATATCGAAATAAATAAATATTAAAAAATGCGAAGACGTACGTGTGCAGAATTTACCAGCGTAGTCCTTCCAGCAGACGCATTGATAAGAATTCTTCAAGCTGACACACTTTCCCGATACGCAGCTGTGTCCGACACACTGATCCTTTGCTGAAATGAATTGAGGATAGAGTAAAAGCTTTTTGAATTCGTACGATTTTTATCACTTAGCGTCACTTTTCTTCCAGAACATGCGGAAAGTGACCTTTCCTACTGCAAGCGTTGAACTCGCTATCAAATAAGAGGGAAGAAAGGATAAATTCGAACTTTGACATAGCAGACCAGTCCATCCTTCTTTGCAAAAACAAGTAAATCCCACTTCTGCGCTGTTATTCAAATGACATCGTCCACCATTTTCGCATGGATTCTCGAGGCATTTATCTGAAATAAGTCCTTATCAAATCAACATCTTCCAGACAGTCGCGCATTTCATCCAATAGCCTAGACGGCTCAGGTTGATGGACACGCAAACTTACCCATTCTTATCACTGACGCCATCTTCACTTTTGTTTTGGTCGGTTCATTGCCCAAGCTTTCCACAAAGATTTCCGGGAAGCGACTCTCATAAACATGCTCAATCTCCTTCGGTTTTCTGTTCCGAAACTGCCACGCTGTAGTAGTACGAATCAACGGTAATCCTGTTCGTATAGAGCTTTCAGATTTCCATAATGGAGCAGTGAACGGTGTAGTAGTTGACGATGCTTTCTCGCGCAGTTCTTCTTCAACTTCATTTTCATGACGATAAGCCAAATCTCGTAATGTTTCCGGAATAGGTCTTAAGAGCAAACTTGAAGTAAGTTGAATAATAGCTATATCAGGTTAGATTAGGATCAGCTGAATGACTGGACTGTCTGTACCTTACTGCACTAACTGATTCAATATATTGTCTTGCATAGTTATTATTCTCGAAACTTGAAAAATTATGGTCACTGATGACCTAAATAGGAGTAAAGCTAAGCCCTAGTCTTGTCATTAGTTGCCTAGTTAAATTATTTTGAAAAAAATATGGATCGGTAGTTTCGAATATTCGAAAAAACATTTTCACAATTCCAGGTCAAGAGCGAAGTCGGAGGCAATTCTCGATTTGATGAAAATAAAGACTAACGCTTTCTCTTCTTTCCTGAACAATTTTTACCTTTGCGGCACATATTTTTCATAGATTGCATGGGTCTTCTCAATAGTGAAATTTTCAGTTTTTTCCGCAGCGGACAAAGGTTGCTTGTAATGACTACTGGTCAAAGATTCAATAGGCTTTCGTTTCTGAGCTGTAAAAGGTGAAAGCTACAGGTATGTAAAGGTATTCTTTGAGAAACCACTGATTAACTGCTCATAAAATGCTTCGCATAACTGAGATAACCGTGCTTCCACTCTGCTTCATCCGATCATTCTCGATTTTTCTTTCCAAAAACCTCCAATAATTTGAAAGAGAAAATCAAATTTTGAATAGATAATTAATTTAATTTAAATTGAAGCGTGAAAAAGACCAGAAAGTTTTACAGCCATTGTCTCACCACTGATAACATTGAGATCCTTTCCTTTCCAACTAATAGGAATGATGAAGCCACTTTCCGGTCGCCACCTCTCCCAATAAATCTCATCTTCTTCAGCGATCGTCAACCTGACAGCATCACTTTTTTCATCATGTTTAAATAAAAACTTAAATTCAAAATCAAATGAAATTAAACCTCTTGTAATTTCGTTCTATAATTTTCGGAAGCAATTAATTCACATCGTTTTTCAACATGGACAAAATGCAAGGTCATAAGTTTCTGCGTAAAATTCAAAATTGAAAGACTATTTCCTATCACGAACAGCGTGAGGTAGTCAATCTAAATTACTTCAAGAAAGAAAAAGTTTTTTAAATTGAAATGATACTTTGAATTTTCGTATTTGACAGTAAATTATCCGTCGGTATATTTCTTACAATGCAAATCCAACCACAACAAAATTTGGAATTTTAATAAAGAAAGAATTTTGTTATAATTTCAAAAAAGCAGTCTGAAAAAGTTACATGAATTGGACGGCACCGATATCTTTGTCAGTAGTCCATTCCAACTGTACGATGAATTTTTCCGAATCATCACTGTGCGTCACTGAATCTTGCAAACTTGAACCACGTGGGCTGCAATCTTGCATCCGAATCCCGAATGTTTCCCAGTTTTCATTTTCGATGAAACGACCACCTTTCAAAGAACCAAGCAGGAATCCATCTTCGTTCGCCAAACGTCCTTGGAGCAGCAGGCCACGAAAATGCACAAAGCCAACCAGCCGAACTGGAATACGGAAATAATTGTCGACTTTTTCGAGAAGACATTTTACTATTTTGAGCTTAATTTAACCTTTTTGATCTTTGAATTAAATTGATTTAGCAAATAAAATTTATATACTTACTGGTATAGATCTTCCCGGGCTCGTAATAGCGTGTTTCGTATCCTTTGGCATCCATAAAGAGAAATTGAAAAGGTGGCGATATTTCCTGCGGTTTTCCGTGTACTGCTCGATTCATCCGCATTGAGTGACGCATCATGCAATGAAAACCGCTGAATTCAGTAAGAGCTGCTTGAAGAGAAGTCCAAAGACCTGTGGTGACTAGAATGAATAGCATTGCACCTTAAAAATAGCCAGAAATTTAGATCAATATCGCTGAAGCCAGCAAACAATCTCATCAACAAGGCATTCTTCCAATAACCGCAACTGTCATGTTTGCAGCACAGAAGCAGGTTCCAATGTATTGTGAAGCACTTAAGTGAAGGATACAAAAGTGACAGGAAAGTAATGCTTCTCTTCTCGTCCGATGTAGGAGGTGAAGTTGGACGCCTCGATCACGTATATGCAGAGGGAGGGAGTGTTAATGTGTTGCTTTCTGTCACTCCTAGATTCTGGAACGAAACGGATCAAGAATGAAGGACGAAGTGGTCCAATATCAGAAGAGGGAGGAGAATTCCTCAAGAAGAAAGAAAGAGCACAGTGTTCCCATGAAATGCATGAGTGAAGATGGAATGGAGCACTTCTTACTGCGGTTTTTTATCAGAGTGGATGCCTGCAAACTGCATTTTCTCGGAAGATGCGGAAACTATGTAGAAGTCAGTGCCAGTGTCTGTTACATGTTGCTTTTTTTGAAAGTTCAGAAAGGATAGATTGCTGCAGTAAAAGTGAACAAGAGAGTGACTTTAATTGAGTCAGGTCAAGTTATCGAAGAGTTACGCCATCAAAAATATGTCCAGAAAAAAGATCATATCTAGAACTTTACGTTAGAATGAATGATTTCTTGGACTTGGACAGAAAAAAGTTTAAAACGAAGTAAAAAATTCCGCCTTGTTAATAAAAGGATAGAAGCGTCGTCAAGAGAAATATCCGAAAACCAGATTCTCATTTCATCAGTGAAACCTGTATGGGAGCATATGAAAGACAAAGAAATGGAAAACGCAGAATGAACGAGAACCTCTGAAGTTAACGGTAAGGAAGCACTGTGAATTGATGGCAAGGATAAAGAGATGGGGATTTTTAAAAGGTTGCTTCTCGACTGATTCCTGTCCCCACAGACCCTTCCTCCTTCCCCTCACTTCAAGAGTGCTTCCGAATTCGATAATGCATCATTTAATTTGATCAGCATAATTGATGGATGGAAATGTGATCTTTCAACCTTTCTCATGCTCCTTCCAAGCATTTTGCGATAGTGATTCGGTTAATGCTTAAATCAATTAATTTATTAGAACCAGGAATCATTTTCCCACCAAAATTCCATACAAATCTCTTTGACATCATTGCGGTTTACAGTGTATGGAAGTGTGTGCGTTTTCTCGACCTTAGCAATGATATTTTCCTAACCTAAGAAAGAAACTCTCGTAAGTGAAACGATGTACCGAGTTTCAGCAGATCTTTTATAATTAATTAAAAGTGGAGATAAAAATGTTTTGAGCGAAGAGTTTTAAGCAATATTTACTGACCAGGTTTCATTGCAACAAGTACGAATTAACTTTGAGGAAACTGCTCAAAATGATCTTCAAGTCTACTACCAAATTCTCAAAGGTGCCACTTATCTTAAAGAACATTTTGCAACTAATATCATTGCTTAGAAATATATAAAGCTAAGAGCCACATCTTAGAAAGTGAAATGAAAAGGGGTATGGTGAAAGTCCATTAGAGTCCATTAATGTCGTCAATGGTTGCAACGATTCTGTGATGTCCCACTGCTGGTGATCCCTTTTATAAGGCGGAGAAATTTTCGGAGTTGTTCCAGTCTGATAATAGCCGGAAGAAGCATCGCTACGAGAAGCGCTTTTGTTGAGAAGGGAACTGTCAGAAGTGATATATTAACTGGTTTAAAATATATACAGAGAAATGAGAAATGCTAATTTCGGTAAAAAGGGAAGAGATCACACCATGGAATGATGATTGAATTGACTTTTTGTGATTCAGTATAATAGAAAGAGGAAGAGCAGGCAAAAGAAATTCAGGTCACCATAATTATTGCTCCCACTGCAAGGAAATTTAAGCGGATTATCCAGAAATAAAGTTTGAGTTGGACATTCGAAGGGAAGGAGATTTACTGATGCTAAACTGTCATTGCTACACTACCACAGTCCTTATTACTTCTACCGGCTAACAGATCTCTGGCCATGAGCTCTGCAGGTTGATGACTCGGTGACCAAGAGGGTAGGTTTGTATCACAAAACCTGATACACAACCGGCAATTGGGGATATACCCACCCTCAGGGCATCGTGTAAATCTGCGTGAATACGCGTATTGCGAGTTTTTCTACCACTAATCTTTGCAAATTTCGAAAGCGAGCTTTTCAGAAGCAGAACTGAGCAATCATATAGGGACTACTGTCCTTTTGAATCCTGACGCTGAAAAGAAGGATCAAATCGAAATGGATATGTTACTAAAAATAGAAAGTAAACTGCTTTGCAAATGCAGGTTTTAGGGTTCGCTATTTATCACCGCTCCTGCCACACGGTCATATAAGATGAGAGGAGAGAAGCGCTTGCGATATGTCACCACGTTTTCAATTTACATTTTTTGTTTGGCTGCTCTGGTGCTATTGACATATTTTTCATTTCTCGAGAAATTTTGATCGTTTGACAAAAAGAGTAGAAGAACAGGTTGTTATCCCAAAGAGTAGAGTAAGGCGATAGTGACCTTCACAGCAGAAGCATCTGTCCGTTTTCATCCTTCAATTAGGTAACCTCATTTTCCCAAACGGAACAACAACATTTGATGCGGCTAAAGAGGTGTGACCAGGACATTCATCCCCTTTCTGGGTCAACTTCTGCCTACATCGCAAACCACCGTCATTCCATTGTTGTCCATCTACTTATCCAACCCAGTATGGTCAACTTGATTCAGCTGCGCTCCTAAGCTACCTCTGTTTCTGGCTTGAACTCATTTGAATATCTCGCGTCGTCTATTCTCGACATCCTTTCTGAGAATCATTTTCTTGCTCCGCAGCCGGTTTGCAATTTGAAATGCGTACAATCGCCATCGGAATCTATTGTTTTTAAAGGAACATTGCGAGTGAAATTAGTGGTAATAACCCAAAATTCTAAGTGCAAAATACTTGCTTTTTGTTCAAAACAAGATCCAGAAATTGATCCCCGCCTTTTTCTTCAACCGAAATAGTATTCATTGGCATTGCAATGTTTCATTGCCAAATTCAGTTCCACGATTCATTACAAATTTATTAATTTTGAAAAGATTTTTGGAGATAATTCTGATTCATTGCGGTTGTCTACATACATGCTGAAGTCACTAATATTGATTTGTCAAATTCCTTTCTTTTTTGTGATCACCGAAATAGGTTAGCAAAAATTTTATTCAACTTATAATGATTAGTAAAGTGATCTTTAATTAACTAAATTTAATTATGGATTGTTATGCTGGTGATTTTGATTATATAAATCCGCAAAAACAGCGAAAATGGCTATTTGAAAAGCGTGTACTAAATACTGCAGTTCTCGCAATATATTTTCTTCTGAGAGAATCTCAGATTCGAAATACTCCACGATTATTTGGTAAAGGCTTTTCCAATACTTCCAAGTATGCCCATTTTGCTATAACTTATTATTTCTTTTAAGTAAACGTAATCTTCCTTTTTCGATTAAATTCTACAAATAATGTATTATGCAGCAAGACTAAAACTTTATGAAACATCTGTACCATGAAAATTTGCAAAATATTATCAATTGTGTACTTTCGCACTTATTAAGCATATTAACAGATCAATCTAAAGCACCGACATTATAGTTAGAACAGCAAAAGAGATGCGGTTAATTTAAAATTTGTCACATGACGAGAAAATGCAGTAAAAATTAGTGTGACATTAATTTTCAAGCAGTTTTTGCTTCCAATGAAACTAATCCTCAACGTTGCTAATATTTGATCGTGATCAAAATGCTTGGTAGTTACCGTAATCAGCATATGTTGAAAGCAGAGAACGATGTTCATCCGATTTCGAGACCTCATTTGTTAACCTCTTTCCATACTGCAATATGAAAAGTGTTACGGTACTTGGATGGATTGGATTTAGCGCAGATTTCGATGGCCGAGACATTGAGTAAATGAAGAGCACTCCTCATTAAAATCTTTGAGTGAGTCTCCTTCATGCAATGAGCTAGTAATGTTGTGGCCAGTTACCCAACCTTTCTGCATTTAATAAGTCCTATCTGTTTGTTAGAAAAGCAAAACCGAATAGCTTAACTTACCGGATCAAAGTCATATCGAATGAGTAAGCTGAACAGGAAGGATGTGGCAAGGAATATGTAAAGAAGCTGAAATTTACGATACGACAGTGATTCGTTCATTAAATCATAACAAACACAAAATTCCCGAAGATCATAATTTTTCAGCACAAAAAGTGTAATTTAATTGTTGCTTTACTAATTAGGAAGATAGCTTACTGCTAGAGAGATATACGATGTTGATGAGCTGTCTCCTCCCATCTCATAGGTAGTGCAATATGTCGAGAGAGGGACGCACACGGCGGTGCAAATGGTCATCACGAGGTCATATATGTATAGCTGGAATTTTAAGCAGTTATTAGTGTTTAGATGTTGCGATTTTGCAAAATGCTCAAATTCATTTTAAAAAATATAAAAAAAAGCTCCTTGAGTACTGAAGCATATTCCAATGTGAAGGAGATTTGAATTTGCTAGAACTGCTCCTCCTCAATATATGTCAGAAACATACAAAGAAGATATATCAAATAGTGTAAACGGTGTAATCAGCCGATCCAAAATTAATTTCTTGTTGAAAAATTTTCGTATTCCAAATAAAGAAGGCTTAATTTTGACGTGAAGCGATAAATATTGATAGAGACGATAAGGATGAGCGAGAAGAGAAGCAAAAAGAAGAGTTGAGAGATAGAAAAGGACTGTCCGATGGACACTGAATTCTCCTAAAAGGTACGGAAATTTTAAGAGAAGCGCTATCATTAACGAAAGTTCGTCATTGCTGCGTAACTGATATTTCTTTATTAATCTCACGTAATTAATCGTTTGTTTTGTCAGCAGAGGAGAGTAGCTGGCCAATTGTGAAAATACGCTGCCACCGAGAGTTACCAGCGCAATTAACCACAGCAATCTGCTCATTGGTACCGAATGCGTCGAAGCTAAGAAAAGCAATAAAAGTACCGCCAGTCCCTGAAATGTCAGTGATTGAAAAAAATCTAAAAGAAAGTGGTGAAATTTTTCGAAAAACTTCTTCAACTTCAGACTTTTACATATTCTCTTACTTTTTCATTCCAATGATTCTCCTATAGTAAAATGAAACCAACCAACGAACCATTTGCAGAAGCCTGGAATAAAGAATCATCTTCAATGAATGCTTTTCCCTCGTGGTGACAAAAGTGCCGTAATCTGAAGCCATACTCTGAAAGTTGCTTCTCCTTTATTCGAAGTTAGCTAACCAAGATTTTTGTGTACACGTACTCACTTTGATGTGTATGTCCAAATTCTTTTATCATTATTTCCCTTTTCGAGTTTTCTTTATCGTACTTCGCAGACACTTCAAACTTTTCGCTTTTTAGTTTTTTCACAGATCGCTTACCTTACCCATCGAAAATTAAAAATATTTGCCTTCTAAAGTAAGGAATTTTTAGGCATGCTTTATTTAAGAACGAGTTCCAGAAGTTCTTCATCGCTCAGACTTTAAGCGGCAAATAACATGATTGATAACAAAATTTCAAGTTTCATTCGTCCTGTTTGAATCTTATTTTTCAGCTTCCTCACCTGAATCAAAATTGAGGGAGTGACAAGAACAAGAAAAGTGAATGATCGCAAGTCAAAGGGCAACTGTCATATCGCGGCCAGCTATTACAGAAACTCAACTAGGCTTATAACTTTGCAGTTATTACAAAAACTACGCCTATGTGGCCCATAGTTTTTTCTGATATTTTGTCGTTTTTTTGCTCACATATCCATTATCAGTCCAACCAAATTACAGAGATTTAACTATACGAATCATATAAATAAAAGTAAATTTTTGTTAACGAAGGAAATCTGCTTTGAACGGAAAAGTTGTCCTCAGTTTTAAGACACAATAATTTTTACCGAAGTACTTTTCTTTCTCTTCTCTGAGAAGTTCCAAAACTGTTTAAAAATAAGTACTGCAATTGCAGCGCCTCTGTAATGCCTTCCCACTCACAGTTGAAGTGAGTGCATGCATAATTTGATGTCAAACAAGGCAATCTTTTGTTACAGCAAATTACTCTTTACACTAATGGTTCCAATCCCCGAAATTAATTTCGTGCAATTGATGAATTATTAATTTTTTAACGTAATTTGCAGCATTTGTTACAAAAAGAAGAGCTGTCACTCGAGTTTGTAGGTTATTAGAAGGTCAGAGAGCAAATTTTTGAAATTAATTTGTTTAAACTCACACTAATAATTTCATTCTTATAAAAACTGATGACGAATTTTGGCAAAGCCTTCCATGAAATTTAACTAAAATAAATAAAGCTGTTGATAAAGGACTAAATATATTGATTGAATGAAATAAGCAAACAGGGTTGTAGATGAAAGGCTAAGAAATATTGATAAGCGAGTAAAAATAGATAGCAATGACGCTAACATTTTCTTATCAGTGAAGTGCTGACGACTGTAGTAGACACGAAAAGAATCCCTGTCGGATCGTTTTATTACATTTCATTTTGAATATTTTAAATACAAAGTCAAAAAGGCCACTGAACCATAGAACTGTTTACTGAGCTGCTGGATTCAGAGTGACTGCTGAATACCAATTTCTCAAAATTTGCTTTCTTCTATCGGATTGAGATACCGCTGGTCAAAACAAATAATCCGAATCACAAGTATCATTCTTTGGGAAAGCATCCGTTTTCATAGGACAGCTAATATATTTTTTCCTGTTTTAAATCTGCTTCTAGAGTCAAGTCTTTTTAAAATATAAACTGCCCCTCACGAAATCTCCTACACTCAGAAGTATTAGTAGATACTATCAACAGAGTATTTCTACTACTTTCAATTTAAAAGTAGAAAAATAAATTCTATCCTCCCCCTTTTATATATTTTCTGAGCTGTATTCGTATTGCTTTTACTCACAACAAGCAAAATGATGTTAAGAATGGGGAAGTGAAAGTTATAAAAACAATCTTTAAACTCTTCAGTCCACTTTTCAATTTGAGCCTTCTCATGCTAAAATAGTTTACAAAAGTGTAAGCATATATGTCAAAACTTGTCATTAATAATGAAAGGTTAAAAGTTAGAGCCGAAGAATATAAAGTTATTGTCAACTGTTAGCGAAAGTAAAGATATAAAAAATATAAAGATAAAGAATATAAAGACATTATGAATAATGCCATTGTTATTGGTGATAATGATTCTTCCAAATGAGTAGATTTTATTATCAAATTTCTAAATCAAAATTTCGAAAAGAAGCAAGGTGGTTACAATTTTGAGTTACGAATTCTTGATCTTATATAAAGTATCCCAAGATCTATAGAAATATCCTAAAATCTGTTGCACTTTTCTGACAAGTTCCGTTG